GCCGATTATATAGTAACCATTTCCTCAGAAGAAGTTCCAGAGAACTACCCGTTTAATACATACCTTTTTATAGTCTGTTTACGTATTTACTGCTCAGCTAGACTTGTCGATGCATTTTGGCACGTAATGTTTCCTGACTGCGCAAATCACTTGTTTACATTTACATCAAACCTGCATTGATAGTAACATTAAGGTCACAGTATTTTTTTAGCTTAACAGTGCAAGTGTCTTATCAAAATGCTTGGTGTCAAAGCAGCTTGACCTTGTATGTGATTACTAATCGAAAGCAATCCTAGCAAGCAGTGCAGGTATTTTCACTGAACGAAAAAATTCATTCAACAAATGAGGCAGCAAACAAGGTTGCTATAACCTTTCTGGCCAAGAGCAGAACATTTACCAAACTTGGGATTAATTTTTCCTGCGTGCATCTCTGCAAAGCTGTAAGTAAAATGTTAGAGACAATAAATTAAAAAAAAACTTATTTCCCTTTGTCCCCTGCTGCTCCCCAACCCCTGCTGAAACATTAGGCTTACTACACATTCACTGTGGACTTCCATGTGTGCTACCTTAAGTAGCACTTGGTGTGAGCTGCTGCCATCAAAAATAATTGATAAGTTTGCCTCCTCTTTTTGCAAGATTTTCATGGGAGAATACAGGGAAAGGCTGTGGTTATTCTGTGATGGCTGTCTAGTTCCAAGCTTTATCTTTTCCTGGGGACTTATGGCCTCTCCTTTGGCGAGAGATTGGATATGCCATCATGGGAGAGGAAGTGGGCTCTTTGGTCCTTTGGCAATCAGCCCACTGGAAGTATGCAGGCACTCCAGAAGTGTTTGTGCAGTCTACTGCTTGTTCCTTGCCTTCTATCCCAAGGATCTGGAGAAAAGAAGGCACCAGTGGATTGTCCTGCTTTTGCCAATACAGCTAATTCAGCCTGTAGCCTGACACTGAAAGTATTGTGGAAAAGAGGGTATCTGGCAGAAGGCAAAACGCTAAATGGATTATATGCACGCAGTGCTAATGAACAGGCCCTTTTCGAATACCTGCAAGAGCAGATGATAAATCTCATATATTGCATAGGTAAAGGGACAAATTCTGTTGACTGACTTTCACTGATCTCAGCATGTAATAAATATTATATATAATTTGTAAAAATTAAATATTTGGAATATTAATATTCTTGAAATATATCACACCTATTTAAAGTACTGTGAGACTAATTTGGTACGGATGAATATATAGGTAATAATGGATATAATAAATATTAGTAGGTGTCAAGGACTGGTTACATGCTTCTGGATACATCCCTCTGAGAAGAGGGATCTTTGCAAATATATCACATGCCCAGGCTGTCAGCCTGAAAAATTATAGGTCACAATCAGCTGAATATATATTTCTTATATTAATGTGCTTTGGCAGACTGTTTTCAGGACTTTATAGCAGGAATTTAGGTTGCATTTATGATTTACACTTTCTAAAGTTCTTGAAAGATTTGCATATGAATACTGCATAGAAGTGTGATTTACCTTCTGCAGGCTAAATAAAGAGAATTCTTATTATAAGAAAGAAAACATGGTTTACAACATTGAACTTTGTGTATGCAAACTTACAGAATAGACAAGAAAATGAATACCATCTCATAATGAGGGCTCAGTTTTTCCACATTGACTAGCACATTCCATATCCCTTTATTCAAGGATACTTTTGATTGGGAATATCTTTTGGGAGGTGTTTTCCAGTGCTAAACGTGACCTGTTGTGCATAGTTCAGGAGGTCTTTAAAGTAATTTATGACTTTGTGTACTGTGCACATATGGTTACTATAAAATAGAAATACGTAATCCTGTGGCTATAAATCTTAAAAGTCCAAAATTCTTTCTTCAGTATAGAATGAAGGTTATTTTACATCTGAGATCACTGAATTTGATTTTAATGTTGTAACTTGGAAAAGGGTATAGATGGTCAACTCTCCACCTTTTTGATGACAGGCAAGAAAAATTGACAGGAAGTGGGAGATCCAAGTGAGGCATGTGGAGAGTGGTTCTTTAAGTATGCTGGCAGGAAAAGGAAGAGTAAGGAAAGTGTGGTCCTGTTGGAATTCAAATCTACTAATTCTGGATTCCTCTGAGACTATGTCCTTCTTAGTTACTGTTACAATTGAGTCTGTATATGTGTATCTTTATACTTATATATGAATTACAGATCGTATATGTGTATATAACTTTATATAAATATATATATGAATTAGAAATTGCTGTGATTGGGGGGAGTGTCTATAAGACTGATAAATCAGGCTAGTCTTAAACTTTAAAGTAAGATTTTGCTAAATTTATTCATTAACAACACACTTCGTACTAATAGTTACTTCCTACAGCATTATCACTACATATACAAAAAAGTTAGTCTTTACAATTACATTCTAGATTAGCTGTGAATATATAAAATCACAGAGAGGATGCCATACAGTTAGCACTGATAACTAGGTCCTTTCATGGTCTTAGACGTTGAGGTCAAGGTGGTTAGGCTTGAGAGCAATTTGATGAAAGAAGGTAGAACTGAAGCAGGCTTGTCTTCCGTCTTTCCTCTTCATGCTGGAAGTTCTTATACTACTTGCTTCCATCCCTGAAAAAGGGAGGGAGGAAGGGTGCTCGCCTGCTACGAATGCTACTTACCTTGTTTTCCTTTGTCTTGCCAGTCGTCCTTCTTGTGTTTGTGGCAGGCTGTTCCTGTCTCTTTGCAGTCATTTATCTTGTGCTCATCTCGTTCTTTGGCAGCTTTGTGTTACTTGGAGGTCTCCTACATGCAGCTAAACACATCTTTGTTTGCCCCTTTGGTGGTCACTTGCGTACTTATTTAAGTTATCTATGCATTGTGTCTGGCTATGTTGTCAGAGTGGTACAAAACACTTGCATACTGCTGCTGTTTAGAGTATTTGAGTACTCTTACATTTGGGTTCAAGGCAAACTAATATTAATCATACCCTGGTTAGAACACTTCTGATGTCTAGGTGTCACAGACCTCTGTTTTAGCTACAGTTACCATCTGTGTCAGGATAAGTCAGAGGAATCCAAGCTCTCTTATGTCTCATCCTTTGTATTCAATAGTTTCCTGTGACCAGGGTTTTCTTAGGACCCTTTCAAAGTTCCAAAGCTGTGTTGGAACTCCACTTGAATCAGAAAGCTGTTTCTGTTTTCTCCCCCAAGCCTCATAGTCCTCTCAAGGACCCCTGTCCTCCAATTTTATAAAACTCAGACCCCCAGCACCACCCCAGGGGGTGAATTCCCCCAGCAGGTTCTGCTGTGAAAAGGCACTGCCATGTCCAGAGACTATCCAAGTAAGTAAAAGATGTGTCAGAACTTCCAAAGTGGTTCTGTCATCTTCAGTCATGGGTACATTCCATTAGTGTTCAAATCACATCAGCAAAATTGCTAAAGTATGTATTAATCCTAAATATTCACAGAACGGCTGTCTTCAGCTCCAGTCACATTTTTACTTACCCCTTTGTTGTTGAGGAGACGTGCAGGACTGATGCTGTGTTTATTTGATGGAAGAGATTTCCTCAGAGGATTTTAAAATCTGCTTCTAGTTATTTACTGAATATGCTAGAGCTCCTTGAGCTTTCTCATATTGTGAAAGTACATCTAGAGAAATACCTAAATGAAAAAAACGGAGAGAGAAAATTCATCTGTGTGTAAGTATTGCTTAAATTGCATATTCCCTAACCTTTCTTTACCTAACCTACAGAATTTCTCTTATTAGGAGACCTGGGTTTAAAAGGAATTGAAAATCCTAAGACAATTACAGCCATTGTTATTGTTGCATTTCATGGCATAAGGTAAGTTGACACAATTTGTGTTCTAAAATTTCTGCTGATGCAAAAAATATCCAAATAAAATGCTTCCTACACCCACACCTTTGTCCGGACCCCAAAACGCAGAAGGCTTGCACACAGTGGGAATGTGCATAAGGACAGTATGTTTCAAAGAAATAAAAATACTGATGAATAATTTTTTTTTTTTTAATCAAATGTACGAGAAAATTCTGAGCAGTAAGAGAAAAGGCCTCATGGAAAAAAAAAATGTACACTGAAAATAGAGAAGATTTGTTATATGGTATAAGAGCCTAAAGTTTTTAAAATCTGCCAGATTTCCTTGAAAAAAGTGTAGAGTCTGTCTTTTCAGGAATATTTAGATGCTGTTTTGCATCTTGAAATACAGGGTTTTTTTGTTAATTTCCTTCCATTTTTCTTTATCAAGACCTTTAAACAATTATGAGAGAGTAGAACTACCTACAAGCCTGATAAAGCTGTGGTTTTTCTTTTGGTTCTATCTTTCCTTCGTTTTCCCCTGAAATGACGTAATCTAGATGTTTGGATAGCTATAGTCCTTTATCTTCCGCATATAAAGCCGTGCAGGTCATCCTCAAGGTTGTTTCCCAAAAAAAAAAAAAAAAAAGATGTATGCCTAAATTGCCATATATAGATTACCAGAGTAGATTTCAGGATTCCTTGCACTGGCTCGTGACATTGCTAAATTAACTCTACTTGAATAAAGTAGAATCATCTTTTTTTATGAATGACAGAAGATATTTTTCTCCTAAGGAATTTTGTTTGGTTTAATGACCTTTTCTACTTCTCTGTGAGCTGTAAGCTGCCTCTTTCTAAACAGACTTCCTTTTCATATTTTAGTGTGCACCTATCCCATGTAACCCTGAGCATTTAAACAGGGTTTTTTCCTCTCATTTGACTTAGAGATATCTGACTAATTTTAATTCTCAGAAAATTGCATTCTAAAATAAAAGTTACTTTGCATTCTGTCAGTCTTTAGCAATGTCAGATGTAATTTCTGTTCTTTGATGCACCTCACAGAAGGATATAACTTAGTTTTAGATGCAGTTTTTTGTCATCAAATTTTTTATTGCACCCCGAGAAGTAAAAAATGCTTAAGGAAATCAGATACATACTTCAGAAATTTAAGAATTGAATTCATCATCATGGCACAGCAGCCATGAAAAGAACTGCTGCCTTATAAAGCAAGTAATTGTACCCTGTTAACTTAGAATCTGGCTAAATGTCTGCCTCACCAGTGACATCTGCTGAAAACAAAAGCCGGTCTTAACAATTGCAGTTTAATTTTCATTCTAGGTGTGTGGGAACTGGCCTCATGTTTCCCTGCAGATTGAAAAGTATGTGAATAAGGATGATCTGGTTGATTATAGGTAAACTCCCAGTAGAGTTTGGATGTCACACTGCTGTTTTGGGTAAGAGATTAATTACGTGCAAGTGGGATGTTACGTGCAGTTGGCCTCATTGTTAGAGGATGGCCCCAGGTATATATAATTTACTAATGTACATATAACTTCAATTTTATATTGCAGTTAGGCTGGCCCATCATTGCTGTTTATGTCTGGTTATTAGGTGGAATTATTCATTATCTGTTCTGGGTGTCTCAGCTCCTCCTGATTACATTGCCTTGCATATTTGCTGTGTATGTCATCTGCTGTTTTTACAGAAGGACATTCCTATTTCCTATCTCATTTGCACTTTCCTGAATTTATCAAGGGAATCATGGACTCCTATGCTAAAAGGGCTTATCTTCCCCCAGCTAGATTTGTGGTGCCTTGTCTCTGGTATGTGATGCTACAGCACACATTTACACTAAGCAGTACTCTCTTCTGGGTCATGTGGTAGCATGCACCTTTTTGATATCTCAGGCCAGACTTCACCAGCAACAAATATAGGTCTCCTGGTACCACTCTGTGGATGAACAAATGTAAGTGTTACTTCAGATCTTTTGTAGTACCTGAAAACTTCATGGCTTAACCACATCACCAACGCAGTGCCTACAGACCTCATCAGCTGGGTGGTCTCACAGATGATAGTCTCAGGACTACTTGTGTTCAGATAAGCACAATATTAAAAGTAGTATTTTCGAGTTTTATGAAGTCCAGAACGCCTGTGTGGTCTTTCAGTCTCATCTTTTGAGCTCGTGAGTGCAAGTGTTGACAAACAATTTGATCTTGTGCTACACAAGTGAGTAAGGGAGATCAGCTGCCTCTGCTCTGCCAAAAGGTAGTGAAGCTGTGGAGGAAGGACATAGTCAGTCTGATTCATTGCTTGAAGGTTCACTTGCCCAATTCAATTCCATCATGAGCTGTCTGAGCAGGATCACAACTCTGTATCCCAAACAAGTGATCAGCTTCAAAATTCTGGAAGATGTTTTCTGCAAGTGGGCTGAGTCCATACTTACCTTAGGCAAACAGGCAGTGTCCATGTCCTTACTTAGGAGTGAAATGATATCCATGATCTCTATCTGACATGCTGTTACTTCTGTTAAAGATAATTGATCAATCTCTTCATTATTTCCACAGGTTATAGTCAAATGGGACAGGGTAAACTTAAGAGCTCTGAAATGGCTGCGGTAACTTTTTTTCAGGATATCCCCTAACCAAACAGACACTGGATTCAATTCTGTGCTAAACTGCTCCCTCTATTTGCCAGTATTACCAGCTATAGAGAACAGCAGAAAAATGTTTCACCGAACTGGCAGTCTTTATTAAATGGGCTAGATTTTATGCAAGCAGGGGAATGCTCACTCTCTCTCTCTTCTTCCTGTGACTTAGTCTCCACCTTTTTGTAGTACCTTCTGGACTTTCAACTCAGTAGAGGTTCATCTGATGTCATTGCTTCACGTGTATGTCTTCAGATGGATTGAATCTCTATTTTTGTGCTCCAAGTTCCTTGATTTCTGAAGGTATGAACACTCTTGGCCCATAATGTCCGCTTCATGATCTAGTTAGTGATTACTCCACATTCTCCAGGGACCCTTGTTTGAAGCTCTGGCTGCTTGCTCCCTTCACGTGTTGCTTGAGGAGGTGATATTACTGCTGGCCATTATTTCTGTTTCGTGGATGGAGGAGATTCAGGTCTCTGCGGCCAAGATTTTCTGTACGTTGTCCTTCTCAAAGTCAGAATGTCCCTCAGCCACCCACCTTGATGCTTTCCTAAGCTTGATACTAAGATTGCATTAAAATCCCAGCTAATCTAGGAGACTTGCATCCTGGTGTTCTTAGTTAAGCCTCTTACTATAGCCAACTCTGTAATGTTACATATTCAACATCAAAAAGGTGTCCTTGCTTTACTTTTGCAGATGTAAGTCTTAAGGAAAATTTCTTAAGGTGCTTTTTTCCACTGTGGGATGATGATTCTATTGTTTTAATACAGCAGTTTGTCCTAACATATCATAACCAGTCCAAACAGAGCACCATATACTTGCCAGCATTCTATTAGAGCTCAAGTAACCTTAGTAGCTGTATTCTTTAACATCTCGTCCTAGACGTCTGTCATACAGCCACATGTCAAGCACTATGCCACAGAGTGCACATTCCCAAAGTATGCAGTCACTTTTATAGTGGAACTTTTCAAATCACTGCTGTTTAACTGATGGTTGGGTAGTACATGCTGTCATCCATTCTCAGAATATATACGTGGGGGCCCCTCAAAGAAAATGGTTTCTAGTCTACGCATACATTACTTTCTCACTTGCCTTTTCCTTCTGAGTCTTTTTCATGTGTATCTTCATCTAAGAGGGACTGAGATAAGGTGGCAGAGGTATGTTCTCTCATATGCAATGTAGTTTGTGGGGTGGAGGGTTAGAACATACCTTTCTGTGGACACTGCAAAGCAAAACTTCTTAGTCTTATGTGATCAGGATAAATATGCCCTTTGTTAAAGTGCACCTGTGAATTGTCCAAGGAAAGAACACCATTACTGGTACTGGTAAGGAGAATTTTTCCCCTTGATTTTTAAAAGCTGAAGTCTGAGAAGGAGCTCCAGAAATGCAACTAAGCAAGAACATCAGGGTAAAGAGGAGTTTGAGGATATGCCAGCCTTTCAGTCAAGAAGTTATGGAAGATGGATGAGAGCAATTTTAAAAAAAAATTGAGATAAGCTTTGCTTTTTTGTCTAGCTACAATCTGCTGTGCGTATGAATGCTGATAGGAGAATTCCCATCTGTCATATTGAATTGGAGTTTCACAGACAGGAGCTTGATGAAAAGAGAATTTATTTTTGTCTCCTGAATTTAGCCCTATGGTAAAAAACTGTAAATTCCTTTACATCAGAGATAGATGCATGGCAAATAGTGAATGTTTTGTGCTTATGCTACAGTTTTTTGCATATTTTTGTAAATTAGTTGAAGCAGTTGAAGAATAAATATAAGTAAATAAAATGCAATAGCTGTTCACCTGGGAAAGTATAATTTAGTTTATAGACAAAAGTAGGTAATATACCATATATAATGTATGAAACTTCAATAATTCACTTTTATAAAAAAAATTTTGTTAGGACTTAAATATATTTCTAAGGAGACTGTTTGTTTGTTTGTTTTCTGGATATTTCAAAAATATGTTTAAATGTGTAATTTTTGTACCTACATAGGGACCTGATCTGATAAAAATCCTTTAGTTGGCCAATATCCTATATTGGGAGTTAGATTCAAGCCAGCGTGCTGAGTAGATATTAAGGCAGTGAGAGTGGCAGGAGGAATAATGAACACGCTTCTTTTTTGCCCTAAACTTGGCTAGGGCGTTTATAGTTAGCTCCTTCTGCTTTATAGGTTAGCTGAGGTTCCTCTTTCCAGGTGGAACACTTGGCACATACACACCTTTCTCTTGTTGGGCCCTGACTTTCTATTTTTTTAGGGCTCTCTGTGTGAGATTCTTTCACAGCCTCACAGTCATGAAATCCTTTTTTGTTTGTATCTTGATTTCATGAGCACTATAAAGGAAATGGAAAACATGCAATAAATGGACTGCAGCAGCCAAGGTTTCTGCATT